TTTTTTTGTGATACGCAACAATATCATATGTTGTCTCATAGTTATAATTTAGAAATGCAGCAGACAGCCTCATTTAGTACAAATCATCATTTTCACCGTTTAAAGCCAAAGTATCTGGTGTACCAGTCACATTTCTGATGATGCCAGTCAACAACGACCCCAAACAGAAACGTGGCGACTCCTTGCTATTAAATAACAATTGTTATCATTATTTGTACAAACAAAAAACAAACAACCACAGTTTAGCTGAATACTCACAGTTCAATTAGATTGGGGAGCTTCTGAGCAAGATTGTCAGGCTGATGGAGAGAGAGAGAGAGAGGGAGGTTGTGTAACACAGTCAATACAGTAAGCATAAAAGGAAGCTAAAGTTTCATATAGTTTTATGTGACAGTCGCCTTCCACCAGCTTCAGACGGTTATACATTAAGTAGTTTCCCAGTCTTTGCTGTAGTATTTTCTTTGTATTACTTTCCATCATACTCCACCTAAATCTACATAGTTAGTGACTTTGTAATGACTCACGGTTTTCCCTGTAGGGTGTAACGTAACCAAAAACTTTTAACAGATTAACCTGCACTTGACCCACGTGTTCTGGATCAAAACTACATGTCCTGCAGTCATTAGACTTTTAAAATCACCTGGTCACGCTACTTCTAACATTTGTAAAATGATAGTGAGTCCTGCTCTGTTGTGCATTTCTGTGAACACAAGACAAGCACTAACTGTATCAGTGGCATCTGACACAGTAAATAAACCAGAGTGGATACCAGAGTAGTGAGCGAGTTCCTCTTCATGTACAGCCTCTCCAGAAACTGCAGGCCTTCATCCTTCAGCAGCTCTACGGGGAAATTATTCAGGTTTCTGTAGTTCAGAAACAGGTTTTTGTGGCGCTCCTGCTTGGCCATGAAAATAGTTTCATGGAGTTCAGTTGCCATTTCTGAGGAAAGCTCTCCTCCCCGGTGGAGGAGACTCGGCAGTGCCTCCTTCCTCTATGGCATTATTGTTCCCTGAAACACAACAGAGGCATTAGAGGACAGCAGTGTTTGTGTCTGAGCTTTACAACGGGGACACACAGGATAACACAGCGTGAGACAGGAGCATTAAAACCAAACATTGCTAATCCAACTAGTTTTAATGCCTCTGCACCATAACAACTCTAACGTTAGTTCATACAGCAGCGGCATATTAAATTAGTTCAAGTTTCCCACAAACTATGTTGCTTTAAGGCCATTCATGGCTAAACTACCGCCAGTAACAGGAAAAGTTCTCCGGTAGTGTTGATACAGCGCAGGGTCGTTGATGCTAGCACAAAGACCCAGTAGTTATTATAACGTTATATATATAACTATATATAACTATATATATATATTGTTGTTTTATATATAACTTAGGTTGTGTTAGTGCAGACTAACTTCACTTAACTAGCTAGCACCATTAGCATGCTAGCTAAGCAGCTGCCATTAGCACATCGCTATCGATAACAAGAGCCGCAGAGAAAACATTGTTTACCTTAGCAGGTTTGGACCATTGTATGTACTGTGTCGCCCACATGTGCTCAGTGCTGTTGGTAAAAGCACAGCCGCTAACGCTAACTAACGGCTGCTCAGCTGCGTCTGTCATAAACAACGTATGACGTCACTGCCCCGTCTCCGGTCAGAGGTGACGCAGCACACTGCTGCCGCCCCCTGCTGGTTCATCACTACACTGCAGCATTTATGTTTCTGTACAACTTTATGCCGCTACGTATGATATTACAGTTATTATTGTTTTGACAGCTATTGTTGCTGGTTAAGATTTTAAATCATGTATAAATAATAATCTTAAACAAAATGGGTTGGGACATGTTTCTCCTGAGAGCTCAATCACCTGCATGGATAACTCAAATCCACTTACTGAATAGTTCCTTGGTGATGAAGAAAATACTCAAATCAACAAAACTGTAACGGGAAAGTATTATGATAAAAACATTTTTCTCTGTTCATATGGTAGTACGAGCAGTAAGCTGCTTATAGATACCAAAAAAGTAAACATTTTAGAAAATATACATTAACCTGTAAGACATGTATTATCGTGGGTGATTTAACAAATAGCTGGAAAGTTAATGCATCATGTTTTATATGTAAAAAAATATACACACACACAATACGTTTTGTATGTTTAAGCAACCTCTAACTGAAGCCATATAGTGGTAAAATGATATTTCTAATTTTTCTTTTTTTATCCTACTGTATCTCTTCAGTAGCCTGAACCAGTCCTCCATCACCATTCTGTTGTGGATCCAAATGTGTATTTAGCTGTATGGACACTGGGCTGTGCTGTACTGATAATGACCTAGTTTAAGCCAATCCTTGTGCCATAGAGTACAGTAATACAGTGCTCTCTGTAGGAGATTAGGTATAACTCAAGAGGGAAACATTTTTAAATGTGTCTTTCGGTACCTGCGCACCTCCAACACCCATTGAGCAAATTTTACAAAGTGAATTCAGTCATTTTAAGATGAGAAACATTGGACGAACCAGACAAGATGTAAAGTGAAGCCCCTCACTAGCATTGTTTAATATGTGTCAGAGCACAAATGATACACACTCCCCAATAAAAACAGTGAAACAGTTTGCATACATTTTTATTCATCTTAAATCTTGTGTAGAAAAAAAGAATCGGAGAAACAGACACTCTTTTCCTTCAGCCAATAATTTTTCCCAGTACTCAGAATATATTGACAACTGGAAAAATTCTTAGCAGAACAAAAGAAAACCAAAATGAAACCTCAGTCTAACAGATCATTTCAATAGAAACGCAAGAGTTGGAAGGCTATGAATAATTTACACACATCAAAATCTTGATAACAAATTGGCCATCAATGTGACAAAAGGAAAAAAAAAAGAAGAAATTTGTTTGATTTTACGTCCGCTCTGTGAGGTGTTCCAGTGGTAAAAGTGAGGCAAAAATCAGACCACAAACACTGAAAGACCATCCTGATCTTATATCAGTACACACTGGCACAAGACCGCCACCACACTAACCACTCGGCTGTCATCAGGCTCGTAACCAGAACCCAAAATCACTCCCAGCCTGAAACTACAAACCAGCTTAGGTAGGGAAGGAAAAGAGTAAAGATGCTTTTAACTGGGATTATGATGACTGTGGCAAAAGGTCTAGGTACACTGCCAAAGTAATGGCAAAAAAAACCCTGGAGAGTCAAGAGGAAGTAATACACAAAACATCATTAACTAGCTCTTCGGTTACCAGCGGTGTTACCATAGGAACCAATACAGATCAGCTCTCAGGTCACCAGTCCTGGAACACTCAAACCAGATGTTGACTGACTTCCTTCTACTCTGCGTAGTTTCATTAATTACTGATGAGAAACAGCAGCTTTCAGTAAAGACTGAGAATGGAAATGTCATTAACAGTTACACACACGTTATCATTTTCACTATATATCAAACGAAGAAATGACAGAATGTCATAAATAGTGTTGTGTTGAAAGTTAACCAGCGTAAACTGTCCCAAATTAGACAAACAGATCCCCATAAAGCAGCCAGAGGCAACTGACAAGTCTTATAATGTCCATCTATATGTGGTGAAAGACTGCAGTCCTGGATCTACACGCCTCCAGTTCCATTCCTAATGGGCCAAAGTGTTTGAAGATATTGTAACAGCATCTTCAGACACATGCCTAGACCAGAAAATCCATAGTTTTCAGTCAGTAAATGACTTCCTGCTTAAAGACAGTATGGCCCTTTTAATAATGACCAAAAGCACAATGTAACAAGTCGTATATGGATTTAAAAGATTATATGTTTTCCCCCAACTGACGCCTTCTGACAGCCTCCGTTTGTGCCTCGCATGTATTACCATTACATTCACAGAGCATGCGATTTCTTTCTCCACACTGAACACTCTGAAGGGATTTACAGATTCCTCAAAGACTCTTCTTAACCATCGGGATCAAAAATATTCCGTCTGCAGCAAAAAACTAAAAAAAAAATCTCCTAATCCAAACAGAGATGGCAGCCGGAAACGCCATACGTCTGTATGCAATGTGTACAAGTTTTATTATCAGTTACAGTAGTCTACATGCTACACTGTAGAGATGGCCATTATCTGTATCCGCCCAACCAACTAAACTATCTGTATTC